AGGTAAAGAATATTATGATATAAAGGTAAAATGATTTGATGCTAGAAAAAACGTAAACCAATTAAAATATTTTATAATTTTCCATCGAAAATAAAAATTAATTTTTACAATACGAATATGATTAACAATTTTATAAATTTGAAATAATTCATTTTAATTGTTTTAATTTAAAAAACATTTTGAAAAGTGTATCTAACAGTTTTTTTATGAATACATATTGAAATGTTTATATATTTGAAAATATGAACAGTTTTATTAAATTTATAACAGGTTTCAGTTTTGTTAATATTAAAAAAATTAGCGTAGAATTTTATATTATTTTTTTAAAAATTGCCAATTATAAATGTTATTATTTACATTAGCTATATTTAAAAAAAGAAATGTATAAAATAATATTTTATATATGACGTTAATAAATAGGTATACATTATTATTGAACTTTAAAATCGCTTTCAATGCATACTTGATCAGTACGAATCATGACGAAATTATGGACATCATTCCTTGCTGTATAGTTTATACAAAAAATATAAATGATGATAATATTCGCTTTGGTTTATTTTAACTTCTATGAAAAAATATATGTATATCAGATATACTGCATATGTTCTGTATTTACGGAGCAGTGTAAAATATATTTTATATAATTTAATAAAATTGTGGTACAATAACTTCGTTAATGCACACTAAAGAATGCAAATTCTCAAGATTGTAAAAAATACAAAAAAGAAAAAAATGCAAGCAGACCACTTCACAAAATATAGTATGTATACAAAATGTATTCACCGATTTCGAAGGATAGAAATTCATGCCGTTGACAACTCAGAGACCACGGCTATTGTGTGGTAGCAATGAAAGGTCATACGTGGAAGGGATATTATAATAATACAATATAAATATGACTGATTGTCTGGAATAAGACTGAAAACCTGCTTTAGATGTTGGGTGGAGGTGTTGCTGGCAAGTGGAAGAGACAGTGCAATTATTCAAGGCTACTTGTAATGTTTATTGTTCCTTTTATTAAATATAATATAATAAATAATTAATAATTATGAAATATATAAATAATGATATGATAGATTAAATATATAAAGTTTCCTTTATATTGTTGATGAATGTATTTCCTTTTTGTTGTATAATGAGTAAATGCTATCTTAGCATACATTAAACTGTTGATGTTTGTATTATACTTTGGTGCCGCGCCTACGTGTACGTCGGTCTTATCTGTGAGAAGTTTCAATAGTAGTATTCTTGATGCCGCGCCTATGATACGTCGGTCTTATCTACGAGTTGCTTCAATATGATTTTTATGTTTTAACTGTTGTTTTATCTTAGCACTTATACGTTATTAATTTAATTTTAGTTTAATCAATTTTAGAATATAATGTCACTATTTCTTTCTTAGATTATTAATTAATTGATTATTACGTATGTATACCGTTAAACTGTGGTCATTATAGAGAAAGCTTGATGATGTATAGTGCGTTTGTTATAATATTTGTAATTGTTACTAGACTGAGGCACGCTGAGCTGCTGCGCGTGAAGCGCAGCCCTTAAATATTATCGCACTATTTCTTAAACGCCGGTGTTTGTTGCCATGACGATATTGGTCCTGACATCAACAGGGCATAGTCTGGAACGTTCATTGTTAATATTTTGTTTAAATAACTGAATTGCGCGTTCATACCTCTCCCACTTTCGACTTTCAACTTTTTAATCCGTAACAGTGATGTATATGCTGTTTATTCTGTTATTTATTGATGTGAAGGTTGACTAGTATTACTATTATTAATTATTGAAATGAGTCTTGGGGTGGATTAATGTGTTTGCGGTGGCAAACGTACTCATTTATGCAGCGTAATGGTTTGAATATAAGCGCAGAATGGCACGAAGTTTGGTTCGTCGACACTCGCGCTGTTTGTGTGAGCACGTGCGTAGTTGAGGTTATGGTTGTAATGTAGCGCGACACATGTAACCGTTGTGAGTTGAAAATATACTCGGATCGTGGCAAGCGTATCTTATTTCTGATATTGGCGTAGTGCAATGCAGATGGAACTAAGAATTTGAAGGGCTTTTACCTCGTGAAGGATACTGCTACGTGTTGCGTCTCCTATGAGCGTTGAATGGCACGCTGTGTAGATTCATAAGCGTCAGACTTGTAACTAAGGTGAGGTTAAAGCCGGCAAGTCTCGCATCAGATGATGTGACCTTGACGACAAGCTTGGAATTATTCCGCACTGTCTTCTGGTGAGAGCCTCTTCTTGGTTGATTGTCGATGACGCATTCTGAATCTTAGATTTTAGTTGATTATTGTAGTAATGATACTACTTACGAAGACTAATCGTCGACTTGTCTTCGGACTCCGATATGCGGATTGTCGTCGCTTCCTTTGAATTTGTAACGACGATTTCTTGAACTGCGTTAATGGACATACGGGGATATGTCGTCGTTCTTCTAGGACGTGCAACTACTGCTGCCTTGAACAGCGTTAATAGACAAATTCGATAAGTGGATGTCGTCGCTCCTTTTGAACATGTAACAACGGTTTCTTGAACTGCGTTAATGGAGATACGGAGGTATGTCGTCGTTCTTATAAGACGTGTAACTATTGTTGCCTTGAACAGCGTTAATGGACTTCCACTTGACACTTATTTGAATAAGTAATATATCGAGAGTGCGTGAATCTTGAAAAATGCGCCCCTTAAATACATTTGCTGACCATGAACTTCACTTGAACCCCTTCCCTTATTTTTCGTCCAGTCAGAGACTCCTCCCAGACAGAGCGAGGGCAGCGCCTCTTGTGTCATCATACTTAATTAAGGCCGTAATCGTCGCTTGGTCTTCACGGCAAGAAGATCTCTCGTTGCCGCTGACGCATCTGGTGACAGCATAACTTGTTGAGAGCGGAAAGGGGGGGGGGGTCCGCTAGTACATACTGCTTGAAGTAGTTACCGAGCGGAGCTAATTCGTACATATGCCTATGAGTGGGGTTTTCCCGTGTTTATTGTATTGTTTTTTCCAAATGTTTTATGACTGTTGCTAGATGGTTACGAGTAAGAAAGTTTTGGAATCTAAACACAAATTTTACGATGTTGTTTTGCCAGATGCTATATTGCATTGAAAAAAGGTCTCGCAATCTCGAACAGTATGAGTTCATGGATATAATCTATTGGCATAGGAGATTCCTTTCGTTAAATGTAAAGATATTTAATAATATAAAATTGACGTTATGTTACGGACTATAGCATTTTTAAGCGGAATACAAAGTGGGAGAGGTATGAGCGCGTACAGCATTGTTTGGTAAACATTGGCCAATGGACTCAACGAATGCCTCTAACCGAAAAACTCGAACATACGACTATAATTCCTAGAAATATTAACAAATGAACCCCGACAAAGCTATGCGCTATTGATATCACGAAAAATAGCGGCACAGTAACAGCCACCGATGCGCTATCGGCGCATCGAGTTCGTCCGAAAATATTTAAGGAGCTGCACGCGCCGCGATCCTTCTTTTAGTAACAAGCACCCAGCACGACAGGATCGCCACTCTGCTCACCACGCGGTTACTACTACTACCTCACGCAGTTCCCGCCACCACGTGTAAGTAACGCCGACTCTCGTTCTTGCATAGTACCTTACACCGCGAGTATATTTCTCACGGACACAAGCTGTGACGTCACACGGACGTTCTACCACCACTTCGTACACTACAGCTCACCCTTCGCCGGCGGCCAAGACGGCACTATGACGTCACACGGACGTTCTCCCACCACTCCGTACACTACAGCTCACCCCTCGCGGGCTGCCACGACGGCACTAACTTGCTTTCCCTACCACCACGAGTTCCCCACTACAACTACTCAACCCACGAAGAAGGGGAATCACCTTCCAGGCTATCAAGAACACACGCGCAGACTTATCGCCACCACCATTACCGAAGAAACACTAATATATTCACTATATCATACACTCACTCAAATATTAATAGATTATTAACTACTCATTACTTATTACATTTAATAAAGTAAAGACTACAAGCACAAAAGACAGTATTGAATAATTATTAATTAATTAATAATTGCATTGCGCCTTCCACTTGCCAGCAAGCCACCACACACCATCATAAGGAGGCTTAAAGTCCGATCCCAGACACGTTATAGTGTACAGTTATAGAGAAAATTTTTATAAAATTTATTCTATTAATAGAATTTAAGCAAATTTTTCTTAATTATTAAAAATATATTAAATTTCTTTGAAATTAACAACAATAATTACTTAAACATTAATTTATGTTGCACGTAAAATGTTTTAAACGGTATGTGTACTTAATATACCTATAGAAAGATACTTGTAGTAAGCAATTTTTTATTTTAGATAATAAAAAAATTTGCTTGGTGAGATTTAGAAATAAAAGCAGTTATGTATTTTCACGTATATGACTGTCGACGCATATTATATTTTTATAATTTATGAATATATCTATGAATTCTAATTTTAACCTTCACTTTTCATAAGATTTTATTCTGCATACAAAAGACTTTGGTGATATCTTAAAGTTTTTACAAAAATTATTTTAATTAATATTTGTAACTATAGTATTTTTATATAATTTCTGAATCGTTTTAGTAATTTTTATTTTTATAAATTTATGGAAAATATGAAATATTTTCATAAATTCAAAAATAATTAAAATAATTTACCGCTATTATTAGTATTTAATTAGAAACTTTGTAAATACTATTTATAACTAGTACTCATTTGTAAAAGCCAATAAGCCTTGGAGTCAATGAAAGCCAATGAACGTTTTCTATTTTAATATGTAGAAAAATGAAATACAGACTATTAAAATGCTTTTGCAGTGTGAAAGTTTTTTTAACTAACTCTTTTTATTTTGTAGGCAAATCTATTTATTACAATATAAATACAAAAATTTATTTATATTATTTAATTAAATAATAATGAAATAATAAATTTATAATTTGAATACAAATTATATAATGTTAACTCAAAGGTGTATTCTACCACATACTGCAAGTGACATATTTTCTGTAACATTTTTACTAATAATTGTACCTTTAATATATTGGTTTGAACTTTGGATTGTTCTGCCAGAGCTTTATGAATATGGAACATCTCCACATATATTTCATTGTTGCCTTGGAAGCTTTATCATGCTGAATGTAGTTGGTAACTTTACATATACTGTATTATGTGATACAAGCATACGCCAAGTTCTAATACCAACCAACAAAGGAGATATCAAAGAAGGCTGGAGATTTTGTAGAATTTGTGAGTTAATAGGGCCACCTCGTTCTTGGCATTGCGATATTTGTAATATTTGTATAGTGAAAAGAGATCATCATTGTATTTTTACTGCATGTTGTGTGGGTCATTGTAATCAGCGATATTTTTTAATGTTTATTTTCTACTTATTTATATCTACTTTATATTCATTTATACATAGTAACTATTTTATTTGGAGTAAAATTAAATTTGATTTTCCTATTACCATTATAAAAATCATTTTTCCAGTGGCCATATTTATATTTGGATATGATGATAATATAGAACAATTTTATTTGACGTTATATATTATCACTGTAATAGGGATGCTTTTTACTGGTATATTATGCCTTTACCATTTTTATCTGGTTTTTGTAGGATGTACATCTAATGAAAGAAATAAAAAGAATTATATATATAGCTTAGGTTGGAAACAAAATATTAAAGAAGTATTTGGAGACAAATGGTTTTTAACATGGTTACTTCCTTATATCCCATCTAAATTACCACAAAATGGAGTGTTTTGGCAAACATCTAACAAATTTAAGTAATAGTTCAAGCTATAATTGTATGATAAATATGTAGGAGTGATTTTTCAAATATAAGGAAAAATGTGTATAATTGCCTTATAAGATTTATTGTTTTATATTGGTAAAATTTTATTCCTACAGTTTAAATTTAAAACATTCCAATATCAAGTTTTAAAATCATATTTTAAGATTCAGTCAAAAAATTGATTATATTTGAAAGATTAAAATTTAATAGAGGAAAATGGCAATTCAATAGTATTCAAAATTATTTATATTTAGAATAAATGTACAAGAATATAAATTATTACATTGTATAATAATTAAGAAATAAAATACGCTATGTAGTATTCTATTGATCTAAAGTTTGTTGGTTATTTTTTTTCATTTTATATTATAATTTCTGCTATAATATTAGATTTGTATTTGATTGTAAAATAATATCAGAATAATAAAAAAATGTTAAATCTGGTATTTCATTTTATTTTTTTTCTTAATGCGAAAAAAATATTGAAATTATTTTTCTTAACCAATAACAAAATTTGATTTGAATATACTCAGGTTGAGTTAGAATTACTTCGATTATCAATAACATCTTAATTTAAATTAATATATTTTTTATTAATAATATAAATAATAAATTTTTATTGATTTTTAATATACTTTTGCAAAAGTAGTTATAAGAATTCATGGCTTCACCAATTCCAAAATCTCCTGAGCAGTCTGAAAAGAATCGAAAATATGATAGACAGTTAAGGTAATGTTAATTCATTTAATAGTATAATAATGCTAATGAAAAGAATTTAATTTCTTTTACAATTTATTCATTTTTATTATTGATAATTTTTGCATGAGTCCTTTTTTTAATTAAATATAATTCTTAGGTTATGGAATGATCATGGTCAGGCTTTGCTTGAAGGAGCACACATTTGTTTAATTAATGCTAACGCCCTTGGTACAGAAATTTTAAAATCTCTTGTGCTACCCGGAATTGGTGCGTTTACTATCATTGATGGAAATAAAGTTACAGAAGAGGATATTGGTTCTAAGTAAAAATAATTATAACATGCTATATATATTTTAAACATAAAAAAAATTATTTTACATTTATACGTGGACAACTATTTGAATATATTTTTATTATTGTTAAATATCATACTTATTTCAGTTTTCACGAATAATTTTAACACTTAAAAAATAATAATAACTTTAAAACTGTAATAAAAATTAAATGTAAAATATTAGCTTTTTCTTAGATGCTGATAGTGTAGGAAAATCACGTGCACATGTATCAACCCAATTTCTTTTGGAGTTAAATCCTGATGTTAGGGGGGATTATATTGATGAAGGACCAGAACAAATATTAAATAATAGTCCAGACTTTTTTAATAATTTTAATGTAGTTATTGCTTGTGCAATTTTGGAAAAGTAGGTTACTAAATGAAATTTACCTTTTTTAAAATAAGTTTAATTTATGGCAAAACAATATATTTTAAAATTATACACTTGATTTTATCACATATAATAATCTTTTATTTTCTGTTAAGAATAAAGTATTATATAATTTATTTTGTTATATTAATATAATTGTTAATAAATTATATTTGATTTAGGTCACTGATTATTCTAGCAAAAAAGTTATGGGAACTTGATATTCCATTGATTGTATGTAAAACAATAGGATTTGTTGGATATATAAGAGTTCAAGTAAAAGAACATACTATTATAGAAATGCATCCAGATAATGAAATACCTGATTTAAGACTCAATAAACCGTTTGAGTTGTTAAAAACTTACTTTGATTCAATAGATTTAAATAATTTTGATATAAGAGATCACTCTCATACACCTTATGTTATAATTTTATATAAATATTTACAACAATGGTTAATAAATTACCAGGATATACCAAGAACAAAAATTGAAAAAGAACAGTTCAAACAAATGATAATAGATGGTGTAAGAAAAGATGAAAATGGTATTCCAGTAGATGAAGAAAATTTTAAAGAAGCTATTAAAGCAGTTAACATTTGTATTTCACATACATCTGTATCTAATTCTTTAAAAGAAGTATTAAATGATAATAGTTGTATAAATCTTAACTCTAAAGTAATAATTTTGTATTACTTTTTATATATTTATATATTTTTTTAACAACTTTTAAAAATTGTTGACATATTATTTAACAAACTCTTTTATAATATAAACTATATATGATTTTAATTGTAGCTAAAATATAAAAAATAATATAAAAAATTTCAGAGTAGTTCCTTTTGGATTATTGCCAAAGCTATTAAAGATTTTATGGAAAATGAAGGCGATGGACTATTACCTTTAAAAGGTGCATTACCAGATATGATAGCTGATACAGAGAAATTTATTTCCTTACAACAAGTGTATTTTTTATTTTTTATTTTACATTTTGATTAACATTGTCTTATAAATATAACAATATATTTATTAAATTTAAGGTATCATAAACAAGCAAATACTGATATTGAAGCAGTTTGGAAAAGAACTCTTCAATTATTAAGACAACTTGGCAAACCATCAGATTCAATATCTGAAAAAGATGTAAAATTATTTTGTAGGCATGCATCTGAACTTTGTATACAACGTGGGTCATCACTTGCCAATGAATATGATGCAAAATTAATAAATACTAATGAAATAGGTAAAACAAAAATTTATAAATATAAATGGTATTTAAAGTATTAAGTACATTATTAAGTGATACTTGATATAAATGTTTAATTCTATTGTTAAATATACTTTTGGCTGATGAATGTAACAAATGTTTTTCTAGTAGTTTATGATTAATATTTATATTGTATAAATATTAATAATTTTTTACAATCTTTGCAGCACAAAGTTTAGAAAACCCCGAAAGTTTAATGGTTTATTATGTAGTATTGAGAGGAGTTGAAAAGTTTCAAGCCGAATATAATGCTTATCCTGGTGAATTTGATGATCATGTAGAACCAGATATTGTAAAACTTAAGGTATAAATAAGGGTTATTGTAATTTAAAATTAAGTTTATACATAAATATAACTTTTTAATAAGTATAACAATAGATTTTTGTGAAATATGATTATTCTTAATTAGTATATCAGTTTTAAAATTATATTATAGTAGAATATTTATTGTTAAAAATGTATTCAAAGGAATGAGCATCTATATCAATCATTGATTATTTTGAATTATAGGCTTGCATATCCAAGTTATTAGGGGAATGGGGTTGTGCACCACTAGCAAAAGACGACTATGTACATGAATTTTGTAGATTTGGAGGAGCTGAACTACATTCTGTTTCTGCAATGATAGGAGGTCTTGTTGCTCAAGAAACTGTAAAATTTATAACACATCAATACAAACCCATTAATAATACTTTTATATATGATGCTGTTACTTGTAGTGGGTCTACTTTTATATTTTAGAAAATAATAAACAATTTTATTATTTTAATCATGTTATTATTAAAGTATATAATATAATTTTATCAATTGTACATTCACATATTTTTCATGAAAAATATAATTAAAAACTATTACTTATATTTATAATTTGATACATGTAAATGTTTTAAATGTAATATTTTATAGTAAAATGTATATTTTATTTGAGATATTTAAGGTGAAAAGTTATTGTATCAACATATGACAGAATTTGAATAGTCATTAGTTTTTGGAATTAAGTAAGTTTGTTATCGCCTGCCTCTGCCTCTTCCTCTACCACCTCTGCCACCTCTCGCACCTCGTCCTCCACGACCCCTGCCCCTTGCAGCTCCTAAAAAAAAATATCTTTAAATATATTCAAAAAGTAATTTTGAATGAATACATATGAATTTAATAATAATTAACCTCTAGCTGCTTCCTTCTTTTTAGCTTTAGCTTTAGGTGTATCATCAATTAATAATGTTTCAAGAGGTAAAGAATCAGGTAAAATATAATATCTAATATTATTTCCTCTTAAACTAAGTGTGTCTAATTGCACTGGATCTCTATTTTTTATTGTCATTTTTACTGTTTTTAAATGTGTATTCATTGCTACATCAACACCTAAAATAAAATATAAGAAAAACATTTATGTAATATTAATAATTTAAAAGTTATATTGAATAGATTTAAAAAATTTTAAAATAAAATATAAATATAACAGAAGGTATTATTTACCAGTAATAGTTCCATGTACTTGAGTTCCATTTTTGAGTTCTATTGTAACGGTTTCATGGCTTAATTTCATTAAAAATCTGGAACATTCAGATAAAAAAATTAAATGCTTGATAGTTCATTAAAATTATAACTGATATATGTACATTACATATTTATTACCTAACCAGTTTCATGATCGAAATTTATATAGGTGCTAATATTATATTGAATATAACACCTAATATCATATGTATATAACCACATATAATCTAAGCGATGTAGACTGGTCCCAATGAACGTAAACACTGACTCATTTGTCGCATGCGCAAGAGGTCGCAGCTTATTAATTATTCATTTGGAAGTATTATAAATTCCAACATTTTTAGATATAGTTATAATGAAAATTTTAATAATTATAAATTATAACTAAGCAATACGTAAAACATTATCATTATATATATTTTTTAATGTTCGTAAATTGAATGCAATATAATATGTATGATTAATGTATTTATATTTGAATACAATATATTAATTAAAATATAAATCCAAACGTTAAACATAAACAAGAAGTAGATTACTATATAGATGTACAATGAATTTCATTATTATAAATGTAAAATAAAATATTTCATAAACAAAGAATTATTTATATTATTAACATTTAAAAGCATAGTCTGCAGAGTTTAATATTAATAAATTTAATATTACACACGCTAAAGACTGCCAATAAGCTTTAAGCTCTATTGCGCATGAAAAAACTACTTAACAAAATCACCGTATATTAAATTGAAATTAGACTCAAAAACTGAAATTTTTGTATTGCACCGATTAATATTTCAATCAGTTATCGTAAATTAATTATTTTATCGATTATTATTGTTTAATTTATAATTTCAGAAATTATATACTATTAATATACAAGACTTTTCTGCAAGAATCAACATCTTTACGAATATTGCCCTCTTAACATTAAAAAAATACTACAAAATTTTCAAAAATAAATAGTTAAATTTAACTTTAAAAAGGTTTTCACTGAAATACCGAATTGTTTAGTTTTTTCAATAATTTATTAACTTAAAATTAATTCCTTAATTTGAAGATTTGTTATCTTGGTAAGTATATAGTGTATTGAATGTATAAATACAACTTAATTTTATGTAAAAGCACTTATTCAAATCAAAGACTTATTTATTTTATCACAAGTATTAAATGATACATCTAAAAATAAAAATGGATTATAATGTATTGAAAAATGGTAATGTTATCAATATAAAAATGAGATGATAACATGAAATTATATACATTATTAAAATTTTATTAAACAATATTTATATTATTTCAATTTGTTTAAAATATAATTAAGGTATTTATTGAAAATTTTAAATATATTATATTACACATAGAATTATAACTATCTTTTAATGGTATAAATTTTATGAAAATTTATTAAAATCTAACCACTTATAATATTTAAAAAAATATTAGTGTAAATATCATATGTAAATATCATTTTAGTAGTCTATAATGAAATATAATTGGATATGTTACTTATTTAAAAGTTTAACTAATTAATTTTTATAAATTTATTTTTATTAAATTAATTCCAAATATTAAAAAATATAAATAATAAAATAAAAGGAATTATACTGAAATGCAAATGCACTATTTCATTTAAGATAAATTAAAGATCAAAGATATATATTTAATTTAAGAGATAAATAAAAAATATATAAAGTTAATTTTTTATTTCAATTTCTAATAAGATACATTCCATATTGCATTCTGACAAGTACAATTATTATCATACTGCTTACTATACATTATGGAATCGATTAATGTATTACAAAACATAAATAAATAATAATAAAACAAAAAATTTTTAGAGTAAAAAACAAAAATGGTATAAATTGTTGTGTACAAAATTTCATAATTACATAATATTCCGTAAACATTTTAAATAATAAAAATTATATTAATATTTCTAGTATATGGTATTCTTTAATAAAACAAATGTCACATATATGTATATATTGTTTATTAAATTCTTTTAAAATAATAGAAATAACTTTTTATTGAGGACAACGTTTTATAAGAATTATTAAGTGAACTAGGTCGAGAAAGTTTTTAATCTAAAATTGTAATAGATTTGACATAATGAATTTTAGATAAATGGTAATGTAATTAAATAGAAGTTTATCTTTAATTTTACCGAATAATATATTAGCGATCTATTTTTTATTCTTTTTTATATTTATAGCTGATATTTATGCATAAAATTTATTACATTATTTTTATAATTTAAATTGTACAATAACATTTTCGTTTAAATTGATCTTATTTTGCTTGATAGATAATTAATTATGAACACACTATATTCTAGTGCATGCTAACTGATTATGTAATTGATATACAGACTATTTAAATTAATAATTTGTACTTGCTTAGTCAATATATTTTATAATATTATATAATAAATCAATTTATATACTTATACATTAACACGCGCATATTAGACGAATTGAACTGTCGAGTGGCCTTAAATTAAATGCATAACCAATAACTAATAACAATATATTTATTATGAAGGTATGAAGTTCTCATTGTAGTACGTTCAAAAAATTGCTCGGTTACTGTCGATGCTGCTGCTCTCTATTCTCATTATTTCTTTGCTTAATGCTAAGCCTGACTAATTTAAATTCCCTATCCGTTCCTTATCGTAACCAATCTTGCTAAAAGTGAATGCATTCTGCACTAATTACATAATGTTGTACTACGTACAAAGTTTGTAATGTGTATTATATGAAATTATAATGCGTGTTTTATAGTTATTTGAAAATACGCGCCCATAAGCTGATTTTAGCCACGTTCGGGTCCATGCTTGGCAGTGTATATGCGTTGTTTAGAATAGAGCTGGATACAAGAGAAAGAAGAAAATGTATTGAGTAGTATGCGCGCGCGAGCTTAGAGAGGTTATAGTTTTGTGTACTTCTGGTGTTTATATATTGTTGCTGTTCTTATTCTTTTAGTTCTACTGTTATTTACAAAACTCAAAATTTTTAACTGGCGCGCATTAAAAAGATATACATTGATAGAAAGGTAATAGAAAGCAAAGGCAAATAGAAAAATCGACAAAAGAAAGCAATCGATTACCGCGTGTATAGTAATATCAGTTTGTCGTTTCAGGCACGAACGCATGAATATGCATTATTGCCAATTAAACCAGTTAAACTGATCGTTTTGTTTTCTCTTACCTTTACCCTGCATTCTATTGTATAAATCCACTGGATAAAAAGAGCGAGTGTCGAAAAAGAGTGGTATATATCTACATAAAAAAATATATAAATATATATATGTGTGTGTGTATACTCGAGTATATATATATATATATATATATATATATGCGCATGCATATGCATATGCATATATATATACATATGCATATGGATATCATACATGAGCGACGCGTGCGCGCGAGTATAAATTAGTGTAACTAGATGTGTTTACCCCAATTCATTATCAGATTGAAGTAGGTATTTTTTTTACTTTTTCTGATTTGTACTTATCTTTTTTGTATCAGTTACTAATGGTATTACGAATCTATTACAGTGTACATAATTCATTTTTTGCTTAAGAAAAGCACATTTCGAGGTTTATTTTCCTTTTATCCTCCAAATTTAATATTCCTTATTCCGGAAGTATGCATACAAAAATATTTTTATACGGTGCCTGTTCCAAGGTGTGATTTTCTTTTCTTTTCTTCATTTTCTAATTATATTACGATCAGCTACATTTAGATTATATCTGTTTTTCATTAATATAATTATATTTAAAAAATTAAATTTTTTTCTCATTAATTAATTCATAATTTTGATATTTGGAAATTGCATTTTTGAGACATTAAATATTTTATAAATATTTTAATTTAATTTCAATTTAATATCATCAAAAAACAAAATCATTTAGGTTGATATTAATTATTATATATATATATATGCTATAGTCTGTCATAAATTTGTGCATTATTTTAAATAGTCCTATGTGATTTTATTTCTTAATATATAAAGTATAATTATATATTTATTAGATATTATTTTATATATCTTTTTGTTTTTTTACTAAAAATCGATTATTTATTTAAGTTGTTATAAAATATTTTTACTTATATCAATATTTGAAATCAAAATTTTCAAATGAAAAATTAAAAACATTAAATACTTTTTATATTTTACAGTTATGTTAAAAAGTAGATAAATGATTTATTTTATATTTTTAATATAATACAATAATTATAACTAAAATAAATAATTAATAATAATATATGACTATTAACATGGAAGAAGATAAAGAATTATTACATATTATATATCAATAGATGAAAAGAAAATAAAGATATCAAAAGAAAACCGCATAGGAGTTAGTGTGAATATTAACAAATATTTCAACGTTTTTATCTATGGTATGAAAATTAATGAAAATGTACAAAAGAATGTCTGTTATACATGTGTGTCTGAGTAAGTTATAGATTATTTTTGTCTATATGATAATAAAATGTAAAAATAGTTGCAAAACATGAAAGAAATTTTTTTATACTTATAAATGTAAAATTGTAACAGAAGATTATACATAAAAAATAAATAGTAAAACGTAGTATTTATAGTATATAAATGCCTAGTACATGCAAAAATCAATAATATACATAAGCATAATCAACTTTCATTTGTTACTAAATAGTTTGCCAATTGGTATACTAATTATAATTATTTATGATAATGTTAATTATTTATGATCATTGTTCGTTTCATTGTTTCTGTTATCGAAACGTTTAATAAACGATAATGGAACTTCGCAAAATGTATTAAGTTTATTTTTATGTACTGTATAAAATATGTATTAAATTTTTCGTCAAAAATATTTGAAAATATTTATGCGTTCACAATGAACGTAATTTTTATTGCATAGTATAACAGTAAGTGACACTTCATAAATTTAAAGCATTTTTTTTATTCAAGAATTAACATTTTTAAAATTGATTTAATACGCATATATTGATGCAAAATCCAGAGAATTTGGAATGTAGAGAGAGAGAGAGAAGTATGTAAAAACGTGTATAAAAACGTACAATTTTTTTTATAATTTGACGAACTTTGTAATTTGCAATTTAAAGATTAATTTAATATAAAAATAAAAAAATATAAAAACAAGAGCAGTAATTAAATATTAAAATATAAATTTTTTTATATAATCGTAGAAACAAAATGCATTATAATTTGATACATTATTGATGTATATGTGCGTGTGCTTCCGTAGTAAACAACAAATACCCATTAATCCAAGTAAAAGATTATATATATATATATATATATATGTGTGGAGTGAGTGAGAGAGAGAGAGAGAGAGACGAAATGATATGAGATGAAATAAGATTTTATCGGAGTATGCATTCATCGTTGGAGCGAAGAAAAAATTATGGAAGCAGTGAAGTACACGCGCGCATAATAGCGTCTAACTGGTAAGTTACTTTTACGATCTTACGTAAATAATTTTTCCTGTTTTACGTCTTCGTGTATCTGCTAGGATATCTGAAACAATTCTTCTTTTATGTTAACTATATATGAAAACAGTGAACGAGAAGATGAAGATGAAATCGAGACCTAATAAAAAACAAAAGTATTAAATGTTTTTTAACGTGTTCCAATAAAATCAAATTTAGTTATATATTATAAAGATAAAGAGAAATATATCATCAATATATATATGTATAATACTATTTCGACCATTTAAATACTTTGCTTGATCTTTTAATATAAACATAATGTGGTGAGTTAATATATATATTAAATGATTTACTTTTTAAATAAATTCAGGTTAATTAGCTGTAATAATTTATTTTGAATTAAATGATCTGTATTTCATGACATTTTTAACGAAAGTGTTAAGAAACTACTTTTTCAAATGTATTAAATTTTGAAAACATTTTAAGATTTCTTCATAATTTAATATTTATATAAATATTAATACATTTTAATTTTCAAAATGTACCATTGTTTTTAAATAAAAAAGAAACTCTTCAGTTTGCTTAATGGTAGTGTTTGTTTTGTGAGTAGATTTCAACATTGTTTCATGGAATAATTGGTTGGAATATGAAAATGGAATTGAAGTGTAATTGGTTTTTGAGTATATATAATTTTCCTAAAAGCCCAATTTTTAACAAACAAATTCAAATTCAATTTCATTGAATATAATGTGTATTCTGAGATCATAACTGAATCTGTAAAAGAATGAAAATTATCCACTTGTGACGTAAAAGAAATTAGTCATTAATTATAGATTAACCACATTTGCATGCCCAGAAATGGAAAATCAAATGAATATGCTAAGCGATTTAAATTTATTGTTAATCGTGTATATTGCTTTTTATACCTTTATTAATAATTTGATAAGATTATCAAAACGATTTTAAGAACTACAGAATATTTGTATAGATGTTTCTATATTATAAAACCTATGGATAGAATGAACTCAGCTAAAAAAATTCTGATTCAATTAATTATTTTAAACAAAATAGTAATGGAACATAAATATCGGAATACCTTAACTAAGTCTTCCAATGATAAGATGTAATTGGTTACAGTTAATGACATGCTTTTTCGTTTTCACAATAGCTCATTAAGTGTCATTAAAAATTATAGATAATAAAAATTGCTGAATTCAAGTACTAAAGAATTTCGAAATATAACAACATAGTTGTTTGTATTATCTTGGCCATACAGAAAAACTAAAAGATAAATACAAATTTTTAATAAAATAAAAACTAGCTGTAATTTTTATAAGTATATGCAAAAATGAAGTGCATATGTAATAAATTCACAGTATGTACGAACAAAATTAAAGAATATTTTTTGTTTTCTGATTACGCATTATTCTTATTCTAGAAATATTTTCTAGAATAAATATTTTCATGTTGAAAAATTGAAATTTTAAGAATTGAATATGTATAATTATTAGTTATATACAATGACTTCGATGCTAAAACAGAATTTGAAAATCATATTTTGCTATCTTTTAACCAATAGGTAAGATAATTATTTTTATGCTTTAGTTACCCATAGATGCACATCAATAACTTAACTTCAAAAAATTTTTTAAATATTTTTGAGCCAATATATAGAATTTTTTTGCAATTCTTAAATTTCTATCAATTTTAATAATTTTGTATCAAAGATGTATCTATGTTTTTTCGTCGAAATATATTGAAATTCATATTCTTTAATTGTTTGGATTATCTTACTATTATAATTAATGATTTAATGCAAATTTATTAAAATTTTTCTTGCACGAATTAATCCATAATATTTTAAATATATTAAAACATAAGTTCTGCATTGTTTTTCAGAATGAAAATTTAATTTTATAATACACGGACACACTCACACACACATACACACACACACACACACACACACACACATATATACACATATCATAATATACAAATATTAAGAAATTGTAATAACATTTCTTAGTTTCTTTGAAGATGTATTTCAAAAATTGAAATGAATACGACGAATAATTTATTGTTTCATATGATTATTTATTTATACATAATTAACATGATTTTTAATACATATATCATGAAATATACATTATCTAAATATATTGTGTGCTAAATATGATATTTTTCATTATGAAAAGATCAGTCTTTCTATAAAATAAATACCAGTAAGATTTAGTTTTGTTATTACTGAATTATGTTGTATAGTCACTTGATATATTGTGAGTAGTAGCTACTTGATGAATATAGCTTTTAGTATTAGATGAAGGTACGTGATCTGTAGTGAGAAAATATAGTATTTGATTAAAAGATTAAGGCCATATTTATATTTATAATTAATTTTTTGAATTGTATCATATCCTTATTTGTTAAAAAATAAGTACCCAAAATCGATAATATATTCTTTACAATAATTACAGCAAATTTATATTCAAGTTTATAAATTATTTTTATTTGATAATGTCATCAAATTACCGCCTTAAATAGACAGTCTTTAAGCTGTTTATGAATTAAACTATTTTTTATTAAAAAAATATGAAAGTCACAAATGCTTTATCTCGCTTGTAGGTAGTAAATACTAGATCAATACAATTTAATTGCAATTTAAAGATTTTATTGTAGCTCAATCTGTTGATTACTGACAGAAATATTTAAAAAAGGTTGCTCAAATAATATTTTGTTTCTAATTTAAATATTTAAGCAATATTATTGTAACCTATTAATCTTATAATTTAACGTAATATTGCTAAATATTAGTAAAAATTGCTAAATAGTAATAAAAATGGGAAATATTTTTATAAATTTTGTTAAAATTTTTTTGCGGTTCGATAAAGACGCAGTTTAAGATAATAATTAGCTATTAAAAAATTTAAGCAGATTGATGCATATCAAATTGAATTATTAGCACCCGTAGCAATAAAAGTAGAAAAAGAAAAATCTAAAATATAGAAAATTCCGATAAATACTGCTATTTCTTTTTATTTATAATAACAATTTTCGTTATCTAATTAGAAAATAGTTAATAAATATTCCATTAATTTTAATTTTTATAGCTACAATAAATTAGATTATTAGTCGTATCTAATTTTAAAAAGTGGAGAGAGTATTTATTATTTTTTTACTTTTAAAATATACTTTTAATATATCGAAAAACATATATATAGGCATTCTTTATTTATATACAACTGCTGTTCAATATATTATTAATTATCATAATATAAATATTATTACTACAATATTCAATAGTTAATTAGATTGGAATATTCGATTAACAATCCTAATCATTAATTTTTTTGTTTAAACAATGAAAATTATGTATAATTCAATTCAAATATATTATTTATGATATTATTACTCGTTTAGTTTTAATATTTTAATTTTTTATAATTTAGGTTTTATATTTTTATTATATTTTAAAATAAAACTATTGCTAAATAATTATTTTTTTATTATGAGTCATTTAATTTTTTTTTATGTAACTGTTATTTGTACAGGTTCAAGTTTATAAATTTTTAATAAATTCTATTTTGCTCAATTCAAAATATAATTTAATCGAAGATTATTTTAATCTTATATTATAGGATAAGTGAAAATTTTAATATTATTAAATTACTGTTGTTCGAGATTGGAGCAACTTCGAAGAATTTAAAAGTTGGGAAAAGTACAAGCTCTCGGACACTCATGTTTGTGAACATGATTCTGCTAATTCGTAAATTGTCTACGCCTTAATTTCAAATGCTCTACAATATTTCCGCATAGCAACGTTGATGAAAAATTTCGAACCTTCCAAGACAGTGTCCTTCTGTACTTCTCGAATATTCTGGAGCTCAATTTTTTGATATCAACATTTTCGGCTTAGCAACACGTCCAAGCGCTGTTGCCAGCGTCGTAAGCTGCTACGCGAATATTTAAGAGCAGCTCGCTACGCACCGGGCTCACTGTGCTTTCACCATCTACTCAGTCATCAGTTATTGCTCACAGTATTTCTCAATCACTTAGGTATCAGCTCACACAACTACTAAATCAGCAGCATACCTGGCAATCAGCCTAAAATGTACGCGTACATAATTCTGCCAGAATCTGCAATAACAGGTTAGTAATTCAACGGTGAAGCCATAAGCATTATAATCACTTAAGTGCGCCAAGCCAAGCAGTCATTCATTACGCAGTGTTGGTAGTTCATAAGGTGCCACCATACAATTATTTGTCCATACTAGTCATCCACACTCAAACTAAGTTTCATACAGTCTGCCAAGAAAGTGACGCAGTACGCTCTCTCGGTACAGTCATTACAGAGAACGTTCGTTCATTTCTTTAAATCAAGGACAGGTGGCGCAGTACTCTCTCTCAGTGAATTCATTGCAGAGAACGTTCGTTCACCTCTCTAGTCCGCGTAAACTACAATTATCAAGGGCAGACTGCTGCTCTACAAATAGTCGACTATAAAACTCATAATACCAAGTCCTTCCGCGCTCGAAGGTATATCATTTATTGTTATTGCGTATAACTAGCTTACTAATACTCCCATACTCCCTTTTGAGTATGGTCGATTCTACATGATAACTACCACAGAAACATTAACGTGCTCCCCTTTTGAGTATGGTTAATTATCCCTGTTAAACACTGCTAACTGCCATTACCATATTCCCATGCTCATCAAATGAGCATGGTCGACTGCTCTTGCTGATCCTTACAATGTCAGCATAGAATCCAATAATCAACATCCATTGCTAATCCCTATAACATCAACGACATCGCCACCATTACGAAGAAGCAACCTCAACATTGCAATAGAATAATTCCCTCTCTCACTAGAAGTAATCATAGAACTGCAATATTGTAATACTTAATGAACCAGAATAAACGATATCTTAAATCAAAGTTACACACTATACATATTTTCAGCCCTTCCACATGTATCCTTTCCTAAGCATCGCTAAGGCGAGAGACTAATAAAC